AACTTAAGCAAAAATTAACCAATCCGTCAGTGAAAATAACACGATTGTATGGTATATTCGGAATGTGAAACATGCTAATATGTAATCGCCTCGCCATTTACGTCCGGCATACTTTGTGTGTTTTTTCTACTTGTACTGTTTACACTCGACCACGATGATAAAATTCCTGRCCGAGCTTTGAAAGACTGCTATTTGTGATTTATAGATTATTTGTGTTCAGTGATTATAAAAGAATTGGTATCGAACACAAGATTGTTTTAAAATTCTCACAACTGTGAATACCTAGGTACACAAATCGCACAGAACTCGCTATCTAAACATCTTTAGCTTCATTGTGTACGTGCCTCATATCTGGAGATTTTTAATATGTTCTTATCACATTAACATACACTGATCACTAATAACTGTATTTTAATATAAATTATCATTATAAAAGTTTATCTCCATTATTATTCTGACCTTAACACATTATCTCTTTAATATTTGTTATTGATTTTAACAGTTTCCACTGATCAAAGTCTATATTATTAAAGTTCCAAGTTCACCTTGGTCGGATAGAACAAACAACCAAGTCCATTCAGATCAATAATCCCTATTGTATCTCTATATTTCAACCAGTAATGAACTTAGTGCGAACATTTATTGGTTGTACAATAGTATTTTACACACATTCGTTTTTTTATGTACATATGAAATACAAATCTTTAAAATGTATTTATATGCTTATATTTTCATCATAGATCCGTCAAAATTCATTTTGTATTATGTAGTATATATCTTATATATTTTATTTATGCTTGGATGTGACAGATTGATCAAACTTACACAAAATAGTCCCTTTCTARGATTTTTTTGTATGATAAAAATTATTTTTACTTATACTATTTAGTTAAATTTCTTTACTATCTCACTGATTATGTACTTATTGTTATATTTTGTTTAATAATATATTTTATTTTTTAAATGATGTATACTCAACTATTACTTATTTGAGTTATTTATTGTTGAAGATGTTTTGTTTTTTCATGTGAAAAGAAATCTGARAAAACATTGAGAAAAATAATATTTAGTAATAAGTATACTATAATTATGTAAGTCCTAAATAATATACAGTAAATAATATTTTTAATATTTTGTTTTGGTGTTGTTTTATTTTACTGATAGGCTATGATTAATAATGTTGTCATAAAAATAAAAACTATATTACTTATATCYCGAAGAAATAGGTAATGAATTGAATTTTTAGTTTTGAAAAAAAAAAATAGTAGCAAAAATGATAAATTTTCATGTAGTCATCATAAATTAATATTAATATGTGGTACTAAGATTAAAAAATGTAATGAATACAACRCCTCTTTCATTCGTTGTAATAATACGTAACAAAATTTAAATTTGTAAGAAGATATTAGAATTTATTTAAGTTTACAAAATATTACAGATATCACTGTTCACATTGCCATTTTGAGCGATATAACAATTGTTTTCTTAGATTTTAAATAAACGTATTAGTCTTGTCAATTTCCCTATTATTATAATTGAATAAATTATAKAAAATAATACATACAAAATATATAATGTAAAATATACATACCTGAAATAGCTAGAACTGCTAAATTGTATGTTTTTGTTTTTTAATTTATTGTAGACTATGGCGCTATGCAGCATATTGTACTAAATACAAGCAAAAACATATATCAACTTTTTTCTTTTTCCATAAATAAAAGTACCCACACAAAATAATTCTTCAAAGTACATGATATTATATTAATATGCAAATATAAGATGAATACTTTACATTTTCGAATTTTTGATTTGGACAATACTGTTTGCAATCATAAATTTATATTTCAAACAGTAACAACTAATAATGTTGATTTATGCKTACAAACTAAAAAAATATGACAAATTAATATATTTATAAAAATTTTTTTATTAAACTTAATAACATCAACAACAACAAAAGTTATTAGTTATTTGGTTATTTGGCATGATAAATTATGAAAAGGTATACATATTATTAATAGTCATTTTATCTTACTAATAATGGAGAAACAAATTAGATTAAGTTAAAACCATAATATATAGATAGATATTTGTAAAGCCATTCCATGATTATTCTATATTTTAGAATTRTCAAAATCAAAATGAAATYACCATAAAAGCGTCTGTTATTTAGAGTGTCCGGTATTTAGGGMTTTTCCTGTATAATAATAGTGAAAATGTCCCCRGTCCCGAAAAAATATCCACTATTTGGAGATGTCCGTTTAGTGAGGTTTCACTGTACATATATGTATATAATATATGCAAGGATATTGGGATAAAATATCGTGTACAACAATATCTAACGTCAAAATATCAGAATATTATTATAATTAAAATTATTTTTTTTCAATTAAATATTTTTAGAGTTAGATATATTTGAAAACAAAATTAGATATTTTTTTAATTGCAGCAGTAGAAAATATGATATATTAAATTATTATTCTTTTTAAACACTCTTTGCCTTATACAGTAATTAATATATTTTGTGTTATATAATTATATAATCTGAAAAAATTGTTCATAACATAATATTTATAAATATATATATTATTATTAATTTTAACTAACTATTATAATATAATAATAAAATATCTATTTAAAAACTATAACATTGGATGCAATATATATGATGGTTTTGTTATTATGCTAAAATAAATGTTTCTAAAATGTGATTTAAAAATGAAAAATGTATCTAACTAAAAATAGTTAATGTAAATGTTATCAAAGTTCACATTTTAAACATACTAAAATTATTTTTTTCATGAATATAATATACATTTTGAGCTGAGACCGTAAAGCTCAAGAGTTTGGTTCTCTTAATTCAGTCTTATACGCTGATTATCAATAATTACTGTCAGTGGTATAATGATAAACTATAGGTATAAGAATTATCAAATTTACGTTACGTTAATTATATTTAAATATTTATTTTTTTTACTTTTTATTTAGATTTTATACAATCTGTATATAAAAAAAAAGTACAATAAGCATAAATGATGTTATTTTTCTAAAATTATATATATGTATTAGCTTGAGTGTCTCGAGGGAAGAACCAACCAGCGAAGGCACTTCAGCTATTTAAATATTAAAATAATAATATAAGATAATGTATTATATTCTTTCGATAAAAAAAAAATGTACTAATAATATTATTAATCAATAATTTTTACTAACAATTAAATAAGAGTACAACTAATAAGCTATATTTTAACATGTTTATCTAAAATATTGTTTTCTAAAACGCAGAAACATTCGTCTTTGAAGTCACTAATCACTATACTTAGTCATTCCAACGGGGCAACTAATTGATTTCTACGTTGTTATGTAAGCTTACTTGTCAATGTGAAAATAAACGTCTACGAGTTATATACCCAAAGAAAAAAAATACCAAGAAAATGGCATATAAAAATGCATAAATTCTCTAAAATTTTAAAATAACGCACTTGTACACTAAAAATACTTTAATGATACGCTGAACACTTGAATGATTCTGGTTCTTGTTACTCTCATTTTACAACTATGAATGCTTTTATCTTGATAAATGTTGTACTGAGCAATAGTACAACTATATTCAACATAGTATGATTTCAGCAGAA